TCCCTGGCTAACTTTTCATCCTTCAGTCTCTTTCTAAAGGAAGCCTCTGTGACCACCACTTCCCCCAAAGTAAGTAGGTCTCCTCTTGCACACTCCCATAGAATGTATATATACTTTTCTTTGGAATATCATTCATTCATTTTAACTCTTGCTTCTCCACATAGAACCTTTTGAGAACAGGGACTTTGTCTCAGTTCTTGCTATGTTCCCAGGGCCTAAAGCAGTGCTTAACACTTAGCAGTTCCTGAGGAAATGTCTGTTGAGTGAATAATTAGAGATATTAGTTACTACTTCTAACAATGAGAGTTACCCATAAATGTGAATGAGCAGTTTGGGGGCATGACCAGCCTCATACAATGTTCTTCAAATAGCAAATTTTGAAAGGGGAGGGGTGGGGGGAGGACTTCTAACTGGCCCTGCCACACTGTCTGAAATCCTGTTTCTGCTACTCCTCCTGCCTAGAGGCCTCTACAAAGAAAATTATTAAATTACTAAGTACTATTGAATCTATATTCCAAATGCTAGTCTTCTAACAAAGATTCTAAATGAATGAGACACAGGCGTGTTTTGACTGGAAGACTTGGATTTTTTTTTAATATGTCCTCTTTAACCATCATCTCTCTCTACCACTATACCTAAATAAGAGTTGTTTGACCAAGACTATTTATTTTAACATTTTTATTTTTATTTTCTTAGAGTATTGAGACGTCTGGTTACCCTTATTACTCAGCTGGCAAATGAAATGTCAAACAAAGGAGAACTTAAAAATCAAGCAGAAAGTACTAACGAGGCTGCCAGAAAATTCATGAAAGAGAATGAAAAACTGAAACAGGTATTTAAATATTCTTTTTAAAAATTTGTGTAAATGTTAATATTCTCAAGGGGTGGTATATTGTTTTTCAAAAAGAGCATTTGCTTGCTCTGGCCATGTGTTTCCCACTAGTTAGAGCACTGCCTGTGGACTGAAGGGTCCCAGGTTCGATTCCAGTCAAGGGCACTTGCCTGGATTGTGGGCTCGATCTTGTTTCCCACTAGTTAGAGCACTGCCTGTGGACTGAAGGGTCCCAGGTTCGATTCCAGTCAAGGGTACTTGCCTGGATTGTGGGCTCGATCCCCAGTAGGGGCTATGCAGGAGGCATCCAGTCAGTGATACTCTCTCATTATTGATGTGTCTATGTCTCTCTCCCTCTCCCTTCCTCTCTGAAATCAATAAAAATGTATATTTTTTAAAAAGAACCAGTTAGATGGGAAAGGAGAACATCTCCATGTCCAGGACCCCTGAACACTCCCTCTGAGGCCAAGGAGCTTGTGGGGTGGGGAATGTGGAGGGAGAAACAGAAGAACAAATGGAAAAAAGGAAAGATACAAAATTACTTTGGGCATTTTTTTTTCTTAATTTTAAAATTTAGAACTCAGATCTCACATGTAAGTGGTTTTCTGTTCAGATTAATCCCCATGTTTTGCTAATTCTGCTTTTCAATAAAAAGAATCAGTGGAACCAATCAGATGCAAAACAGATTTTCTCAAAGAAAGCATTCCTAAAATAATGCAATAAGATTATTTCCCTATTGTAGATTAATGAAATGCAAACAATCAATTATATGTTAGACCAAGTTGTATTTATGTAAAAAGTCTGACAGAGAATTCAAATCCTTATCCAAGTCCTAAAGCCTAGCCTCTTATAGAAAGAACTATAAGCACCACCTTTCATCAAATCTAAATGAGTTAGGTATTGCAGAGTACAATATAAAACTTCCTAAAACCTATTAAATAAGTCAAAACTCATTTCAAAAAATTCTGCTTGGTGCTGCAGTGTCATGGTCACCTACTCAAAACCCTCTTTTACATTTGTTGATGTCTACCTTATTTTCACTACAACAGAAAGGTATATAATTTTTTGTTTTTTTTAATTGATTTTTGAGAGAGAGAGATCAGTGTGAGAGTAAAATATCAATTGGTTGCCTCTTGGACGCACCCGAACTGGGGACTGAATCCAAAACCTAGGTTTGTGCCCTGACTAGGAATTGAACTCACAACTTTTTGGTGTATGGGAAGACACTCCAACCAATTGAGCCACACCAACCAGGGTCAAAAAGGTATTTTTATCGAAATAGAATTAAAAAGTGTTTCTTAGTTGTATCCAGCATCTTTAAAGGAAACTTTTAGAGAATAAGCATTAGTTTATTTTTTACTCTGTTTTGTTCTATTTTAAAAGGCACTGATTCACAGAAGTCATGTAAATTTCCCTTTGTAGTAAATACAGGTCTGGGAAGTCAAGCTGTTGATTTTTCTGAATATAAAAGCAAGCTATCGGTTATTTTTGCCTTTTTGGGAGAGACTGTTTCAGCAACAGAATGAGCCTCATGTTGTACCTTAATATTATTTGCTTCATTTTCTATCATTTGATCTTATTTCCCAGTGGTAAAAAGAAAACAAAATCCTCAAAGTTTTAGTTAATATGAAGGCTGACCTCACAGCACGCAGCCTTGTCTTTGTCGTCTAACCGTGTGCCTATCTTGATTTAACATTATGCCCATCATGTCAGATTGATGAGTGGTAGCTACTCCTCCTATCCTTTAGTTATTTTCTTCCTACTCTTCAGCTCTAAGGAAATGTAAAGTGTTTTTGTAAAGTTTTGGTACTATTATTTTTCTTATATACATCATAATTAATGTAGTTAAATTAGTCTTGTCCTTCAAAGAAAGCATCTTCCTCAAAACATTTTTGGAATTGTTTGCAGACCCAGTTACTATTGCAAGGAAGTTTATTTTATGACTACTGATTCTTTGATCCTCCACAATTTTTTTCTTCTGTTGTTTTTCTTACTTTTGGTTCCATGCTGTCCTGGTTCCCTGCTTCCTGCGTATCTCTGACCCAATCAGTGGTATTAGATCATTAGAGATACACAGGTATGCTGGGCTGAAATCAGTACACAGTGGAGAGAAAGTCTGTGAACTGGACATAAACTCTGTCAGTGCCCAAAGTGCATCTAAGTGACCAAGAAAGGCCTTAGGTCAGAATGTCAAAGATGACTTTTATTTCAAGATATTTCATTCAAATAGGTTTTTAAATACTAGTTAAAGAAGGATAAAATTGCTAAAACACCTCTTCACTCTCTATCAGAGACACATTACCTAATGGAAAATATATTACCCTGGGATCTAAGAGACTTAGGTACTAGTCCCAACTCTACCAAATAATGAGCATTGTTACTTAGGGCAAGTCACCTCATGTGTTCTGGGCCTCAAGGTCATAAGTAATAGCTAACGGGTGCCAGGTATCACTTCAAATGCTTTACAGTGCGGTATTAACTCTTAATTTGTTCAATAACCCCATGAGGTTGATACTGTTATTATGTGCATTTTACACATGAGGAAGTGGTGGCACAAAAATGTTAAGTGGCTTGCACAAAATCATTCCACTAAGTGATAAAACTAAGAATCCACTCTTAACTAAGTTGTTTTGTCCCTTCGCTTGGATGCTAGCCTATTATGTACCTTTTGATGGTGCCTGAGACCCTTCTGTGTTCTGATATTCAGTTAATTAAATGAAATAATTATGAAAGACCAATTAATTTTTAATTGCTTTAAAATAACAACAGTGATGGAGCTTCTGACCAGTTTTTTTTTTTTCAAGTCCCTTACCAAGATGGGATAAGGTATGTAGGACAGTGAATACATGCGTGATTGTAGCTGGTAGCTGTTGAATTTCATATTTCAGTTTCTCCAGCATCAAGTCACACATAATAGATTCGGACAAGTTTACAGGTGCAGTAATGAAAGCTTATTTACAAGACCAGCACAAATCCAACTTTTCCAAGTAAATGGCATAATAATTTAAGCAGTCAGTGTAATAAACATTCCTACAACTCCATGGTTCCCTTCCAATTACTGGAGACTCTGTGACCTAAAAGCAGTGAAGCAACAATGAGGATTGTTTAGAATTTGAATATGGGCAACAAATTCATAGAGATTTGAAGAAAAAATTTTTGGTCTTATTTTTGCTCTTTAATTTAAATTTTTTTTTTTTAATTTTGTAAGTAAAAGTCCTCTTCAGTTGTGTGTATTTCAGTCTTCTTATCTCCTAAAAACAATTTACTGGGCTTATATAATATACTTAGTAGAGTTTTAATTCCTCCTGAGCTGCCTAATCTCTCTTATAACACAAAAGTACTGTATTTGATCTTGTGCTACAGTATGCTCTTGTCTCATCCTTTTCACTAAATTGAAGTTACCTGAGAGCAGGGATCATATTTCTTTTACATGTTTATCCTTTATAACCCAACTATTGTAAAAATTTGCATGTAGTCAGTGCTCAGTAGAACATTTTGTTTGTTGAATATACCAGCTTACATTAGAAAAGGAACCATCTGCAATAGAAATTCTTTTCTATGTCAGTCTGTTTAAAATTGTCCTAATGTTGCTTTTTCACTTATGGACTGTGTCAGTATCAGGTTGTTGCACTTCAGTTAAATAATCCATGACAGTGTATACATATTTTATTTTTCAAATACTAATTTCCCCTCTCAGTAACTTAAATTTCTTAAAATTTCTTTACAATGTCAACTTCTTAGTCTATTAACAATGGTAGTTTCCATCCAGACATACAGATCATGACATTTTACTCCCTTATGTTTTTATTTTATTTATTTTTTTAAGGTTTTTAAATTTTTTATATTTATCTTTATTGTTGAGAGTATTACAGATGTTCCCCATTCTCCCCCCCCCACCCCCCCCTTGTATCCCTCTACCTGGTTCTCACCCCACCCCAGGCTTTCACCACAATTATGTTTTATTTTAGTCAGATATTTTACCATACTGTTCAGATTTTAATTTTTCTTGCCTAGAAAGGATAAGCTAGAAACATAAACATTTTAAAAGCCAGAATAGATTTTAAAATATGAAGCGCATCATAAAGAATTAACTGAATAAAATTAATTTGGAGACTGGTCAATGAAAATTAGATAGAATTTTCCAAGCATAGAGATGTCCTTTAGATTTTCTACTTACTCACTTCCCCCTGACAACATTATATTCTTCTCTTACAAATCCACCTTTATAAACGTAGTCTGTGCCTGGGGTGTGGGGCAGGGCGGGCTATAAGGGGTCAATGAGGGGTAAAAAGGGAGACATATGTAATACTTTGAACAATAAAGATTTTTTGAAAATAGTCTGAGTAACCCAGGTTGCAGCTCTGTAACTGGAATATAATGATCTCCTTATTAATAGCCTTAGAACTGTGTTTTTTTAACTTGGATTTTCATTACATTTAGTTGATAAAAATATATGCACGTTATTTACCTAAATACTTTTGAAAATACGACTTTAATCATAGCCCAACCAGAACCTCTTATTTTCATTTGAGATTTTAACCACTGTAAGGAGAAATTTATTTGTGTTTGCCAAATATCACTTTATGTTAGCAGAATTCCATTGTAGAAAATTATAAAATACGAAAAAGACAAAGCATAAAATAAAGACCAATAATTTTAAATACATTACTCAGACCATTTCCTGGAAGAATGTCTGACTATTGCAATCTAAGCTCACTTCTATAACTCTCTTTTCTGATAGCTCTTGAAAAGCTATAACAAGGAAGAGGAACACATTTTGGAAGCAGAAAATAAAAAACTGGTAGAAGACAAGGAAAAACTGAAAACTGAACTAAAGAAGACTTCAGATGGTAACTTTGTGTGCATGTGCCAAAGCAAAAAGAACATGATATTTTATGCTGTTACACTTCACTGTTTTCCCTAAAACAAATCTAATGGCTAAATAGTTCTTTTGACTGAAATACCACGAGCGACCTATTTATAAATTCCTGCTCAAATATGAAGATAAAACATTGTTTCAGCCAAGAGAAACATGCTGTGTTATACAGAAAAACATGTAGGTGTTTCAGATCTGTGTTGTAAATACAGATGTTCTTACCTTAGCAAAAGAGCTATGTTCCTAAAAAGTTGCTTGTGAACACATTATTGGAAAATAAATCACATTCTTCCATTACAGTATATTGCTCCTTTAAAAGAAGTGATCACAGGTGGACAGTTTGGTTATAAGAAAGTATATTGCTGCCCTGGTTCTGGGTGTCCAGTGGGTTGGAGGGTCATCCTGTACACCAAAAAGTTGCGGGTTTGATTCTTGATCAGGGCACATACCCAGGTTGCAGTTTGGTCCCAGTCTGGGCATGTACAAGAAGCAGCTGATGAGTGTTTCTCACATTGATGTTTCTCTCTCTCTAAAAATTAATAACATATCCTTGGGTGAGGATTAAAAAATTTTTTTTAAAGAAAGTATATTGCTAATCTCAAGCCCTAATATTTCCTATCTGCCAGAAATAAGGAAAGCATTCCTTGAAAAAGATAGGTTGGCATAGAGAAAGAAAAATCTGGATGTCAGCTGAGAATTTGAATTTGTCATTTCTAAATACATGGCAATGAGGACTTGGGTAAAGCATCCCAACTTCTTTTTTCTCAAGGCAGCTATCCTGAGGAAGAGAGAAGGAGAGAGAGATAGAAACATCAATGCCTCGACATGGATCAACTGCCTCCTGCATGTCCCCTGCTGGGATTCAGCATGTGCCCTGACTGGAAATCGAACCTGTGACCTTTTGGTGCATGGGTTAATGCTCAACCACTGAGCCACATGGCTGGGTCATTTTTTGTTTTGTTTTTGTTTTTTTTAATAGTTCCAATAGTATTTTCTTCTTTTTAGTCAAATTATTATTGCCTGCAATCACATAGCACAGAAAACTGGATACCCCAACTCCAATGTCATACCAGGAAATTCTGTTTAAAAGTTTGTGGCTTGATCCCAGTGAACATTTCTGCATAAAAGTTATTCCCTGATGTTATCCAGACATTGGGGAACCTCTCAGTCATTCAGAGCTAAAGTAATGATCAATGTATAGGCCTTCTCCAATTTTAAGTCTCTTCCATTACTTTATGTTGGAGATAAATTGGAAAATGTTCAGTGACTGAATGAAGGACCTACTTTATGCCATTTGTAAATTTAGATTTTTAAAATAGGCCTAAGTATAATAGAAATTCTCTGTAATATAACTTGCAAATTGATTATGCATTTATATTCTTTGTGTAGAGTTTTCTTCATCAAGATATTTTGTGGTTTTTTAAATATATATATAGGTATTTTTATTTCAGAGAGGAAGGGAGAGGGAGAGAGAGACAGAAACATCAATGATGAGAGAGAATCATCAATTGGCTGCCTCCTGCATGCCCCCTACTGGGAATCAAGCTCACAACTGGGCATGTGCCCTGACCAGGAATTGAACTGTGACCTCTGGGTCAATCACTGAGCCATACCAGCCGGGCCTTTGAATTTGAGATGGAAAAATCTGAAGGGAAAAGCTAATTCCATTAAAAAAAATCAATAGGATATTTAATACAATATTGAAAATGTAATAACTTTCCTACTTCTTATTTAAAGTTTAGAAAGTAAATCAGAAAATTCTTTAGAGGCAGTAAGTTAAAAAATAAGTTACTCCTCTGGTCAAGGTGGTATAATATATGGTAGGAGAAGTATAGCCCTAATTTCAAAATCTTGTCATAGCTGCTACTGTTGGCTCTTCTGCAATTCCAAAAGATTTTGAACATGATCAAGAAGTTTTAATATTTGTATAAAAATAAATTTAGTAATCACCTACCTTCTACATTAAACATTTCAGAACAGAAACTGTGTTCTTCTTTAACCCAACACAAAATATTGCTGCTAATCCTTCTGAAGAATGCAAAGGACTATTTTCAAAATACCTTTTATTAGTTTAAAAAATTATTTTAAAATCTTGCTTTTTTTTCACATCTGCCAACAATCCTTTTTCTGATGTTGTTAGTAGGATAGTATAAAAATGAAAGACAGACGGGAATAGGTTGTGTGCCCTGCTACACCTCTCAACCCTGAGCTTAACTTCACAAGTCTGAGATGTAACTCTCTAAACTCAATATTATTTTAGGTTAACATAAAGAAACACAATATTTCTTTAAGAGACATTTCAGATGTTTGGAGAATATTAACTCTTCGATAATATAGGCATTGTATTTATAATCTGATAACAGGAGATGCCAGCTCCTGTGTTTGAAGTGTAGACTGCACAGCTACTTTCAACGTGAATCAGTGTTGAGGTAAAAGCAGATTTTACCTGTTTGAGTACGTCCTATTTGGTTTCTGCAAGGTGTGTAGTATTTTATGAATACATTTTACTTACCCAAAGTTATTATTTTAGATAATAACCTTGAGAAGATCAAAGTTTCATTTCTAAAGGAGGTATATCCTTGGCTATGTTCTCTTGACCTAAACCAGCCAAATTTATGAAGGCTAGAATTAAGAAATTACATAAACAAGTAGTACCAGATTTGGATGAATTTAGAAGCACCATTCTTTGGACGTAGTAGCATTCAAAAATATTCACTGATTTCTAAAGATTGAGAATATAAAGGCTGGCAGTGCTTAACAAATGTTTCAGAAAGTTATTTTATACTTGACAATTGAGTAGGAAAGTAATGTGGCTTATTATCTTTTTTAAATACATGTTTATTGATTTCAAAGAGGAAGGGAGAGGAAGAGAGAGAGAAACATCAATGATGAGAGAGAATCATCAATCAGCTGCCTCCGGCATGCCCCCTACTGGGGATCAAGCCCACAGCCCTGGCATACGCTCTGACCAGGAATCAAACTGTTAACCTCCTGGTTCATAGGTCAACACTCAGCCACTAAGCCACACCAGGTAGGCTTGTCTATTTTTTAATAGGGGTAAAATGATTTGTCTTACCCTTGGTATTTCTTTAATCTAAGTAAAACATTTTCACCAAAGTGTATTAGTAAAAATAAAGCATAGATATAAATATTTCTTTAAGCTGGTCCGCCCCAAATTGGAAAACTAGCATTCCAAAAACAGGTATTAGGAACACTCTCTCCGTAGTACCAATTCAGATTTTGCTCAGAGTTAGTAAATTACTTGTGCTTCAGTGAAGTAATAGGACCCTAGTGTGTGCATGTCCCAAAACACCTAATTTACTAAGTTAGTCAGGTGAAAGGACCTGCCTGATCGGTCAATTTTAATGATCTGCTTAACAATAAAACTGATGTCCCAGTGTGTGGAGTAATTGGGGAAGGGCACTAGCATGCAAAATGAGAACTGAAGCTTTGAAGAATTTACAAAGCTCACAAGCTTTCATAATAAAATAGATCTTGTATGAGTGGAAAACCTTCTGATGTTCAAGGACATTGACTTCAAAGGAGTCTTTTAGGATCGCTGCAGTACTTATTCTTATAAATAAATACCTCCTCAGTGTTATTCTTATTATGGGAAGATATATGTACCATTTAATCATTGCATGTATCCAGGCAGTGGTAAAAGTAAATATGATTTTAAAAATGATTGTACTACATGTGGAATTCCCATTCCTT